ACATGTCTGCGGTATGAGTCCCCATTGCAAACTATCGCTATAAACTGCCATAATACAGACATAGCAGCAATTTGACTGAAAAATTATTAAAGCTACGTTAAACTTCCAAATCACACACAAGCACACACTGAAGCTTATTTTATATGTACCGTTAAAAATTATACTTAAAGTTAGATATAAAGATGTGAAGGAATAATTAAATCTTAAATTATTATTTGGCGCAGATATGTATCACAGTACCATATATATGTAATGTAAAATGGTTGGTGTAAAAAATATAATCTGATCTGCAATTTTAATAACTTTGTTTCTTAAACTAATCTGCATAGTTCATTTATTTTGATTAAAAACAATTATATAGAAAAAAGTCTCTAAGAACCACATCTCTCTCGTTCACTGCCGATGAATATTAGCAACTTCAAATCACATATTGCTATCAAGCAAATAGTTGTGACCACTGTGAATTCTTATGTGAATATTATAATTTACGCCGGTATAAATAAAGTTACGAAATGTATGTCCTAGCACAGTCAGCTTGTTTAGCTTCTCATATGCTGAATGTATATAGCTCTGCTTTAATCAAATAAAGTTTTTGCTGATGCATAATGCTTTTGTTAAAGTATATGTAAAGCCTCCAATATAATGAAATGGTATGATCATTACTCTCTAAAACATAATGTACATTATTTGCATGATTAATCCGCCTCTCTTTTACTCCAAAACGCGTACATACACACCAGAAAAAACTAAATCAATCAATAACCCAGCGCTAACCCAGCTTTTTGGAGCAGCATGATTTAGAAACATGGATATTTCAGCCAGATCAAATCTGCTGTTCAGAATATTCATCTTGATGTTATAATTTTTCAAATATGTAATAATATGATTTTGTTTTTCTTTAATGAGGAGAAAGGAGTAAAGAATTTTTTATGTAACAGTTGCACACTTGCATTCATATTCATCAAGTCCGCAGACGTCTACATTTGTTTACAACAGTCTATAGTTTGATAATGAATCAATTGCATGTATTGAGAATCTGACGTTTTCTTGAAATATGACGTTTTCTTGAAATCTCAAACTTAATTATACGTGATGAACTTTAGTACATACATAATTATTTTTCAAAAGTTGTATGCTTTATCTACGAAATAATATTGGAGATCTCATGTAGTTGCAAAACAAACTCTGGAAGTACCGCAGGTTATTATTTTAGAAGAGAAGGATTGGACATTGTTTGCAAATTCCACTTCAAAGGAAGAGGGCATTTGCTGGTGGAGGGGTCACCTAGTATGCTGACAATAATGATAACTTGTATTCTATTTTGTGTCATTCTGTTCCTTTGGACTATATAAGGTGTGTGTCGTAGTGGGTTTGGAATTTAAAAAATTAAAATCCTTCTCCTTCTATTCGGCTTCATTAACTAGGGAATGTTCTCCCGCGATGTAATTGCCCAGCGTGGACGGATAGATGGAACGTTACTGATAGCTGAGCAAATTAATAAAATATATAAATACAAAGATCTACCTTATCAATAAATAAAATATAAAATTATAATCAAGTAACATATAATCAAAGGCAAATCATTTCCTATACAATAAATGTACTAAATTACGTATATTTAAGTAAACCATAGCCAAAATGCACCTTCTATTCGACTGGTAGTCAGTGATATAATTAAAGTACAATGTACAACTTCCATCATGTATTCGAGTGTTGACTTTGAATCCAATCTAATGCTTTGACAGCATCACCTGACACTTGTTTTTGCACGACTATTTTCCCACGTCTAACCCCATGCTTGGTCCTCTTCCAACACTCACTATTCTGACATCCGGTAGATGTAGATTTACCGTTTAACTCATTGGGTTCATTCCGTATTCCTCCTTTTCATTTCTCGAAGTACGAAGTTGTCCCCTTAAATATAGAGTACGTCTCACGCTAGACAAATAGCACTACACATTTAGGTATAAACATGAACTATATTTCTCCTACTCAGAATTAGGTGGTTTACAATGTATAACTCTGACCTCACGTGACCTTAATCAATACTCCTTACAGATTATATGCTGCTTTATGTTTATCGATAAGTTAATACAGATGACCTTAACTCAAGTTCATTAAAAATCATGGCGAGGTCTAAATTCTCAAGTGCCTTCCACAGACGAATGTGGTCTTATACGCCAGCATACATTACAACACAACTCATTTACATTTGGCTATTCAATGTAGTTTAGTGCTTAAATATTTATGCATAATATCCGCTAAATCTAACTATTCTAAAGTAATTTGAGGGAGTAATTAAATATTGAGAACTCATATATAATCATATAATTGTGAACCCGCATGAGAAAAAACATGAAAAATATACCAAAATTGACTTTACTAAAATTATGCAATTAACCCAAATGATTGCTGGATGCTGTATGGAACAAGACGAGTTTGCCATTTTGATAAGATAATTTCCTGAACAACACGCAACGATGATAAAACAATGAAAATCATTCACTTGTAATTTATCACAAGTAACCAGAACAACAAATACCACAGACTCTAATCTTACGGCATATTATCTGTACTCTACTTATAATGGAGTACAGTTGGTACCATGGTGTTCTACTGAAGCTCATGTTAATGAAAGCTCTGAATGTTATTAGAGTGGCATATGGAATCATAAAGGACACACGGTACTAATTCTATGGAAGAACTGTGAACCAGTCTAGAAATGGATGAAGAAATACTAGAGGATATACGGGTTTGGTGGTCCATAATTGGTTAATAATGAAAAGTAAAATTTTATTAAAATTATCTTTTCAAAGCTTATCCTATGTATAGTTTTAAAAAAATATATAGACCAATTTATATTGATGAAATTTTAGTATTGTTAAATACTTGACTCAGGATTACTCAATAATGAATGTAGCACTTGATTCGCTTGGTGCTGAATCAATGACATGGACTTTATGCACATGTAGGTCAAGAAAATGCCGCGGTTCATATGGTGTTCTTCACACAGAAGCTTGCACCAAGGATAGTTGTGCATGGAGAAATATAGGTCTGATCATCAGTACCCAGAAATTTTAAGTTATTGAATTTTAAATATGATGGTATTAACATATGTTTACTATGGGAGTTGAATTAGTACCGTGACTTCTATAGATTCAACTCTACTTTCAAAGCTTTTTATCCTTGTTCATACAAGCATCAATTCAGAAAATAATTGTTGTTATAGTTCAAATATCTTCTACAAATTGACGTATTTCCGTTTCCTTCACAACGATATTCGACATTTACTTTAAAATATCCATATAAATGCTTATAAACATTGGCGTATTCGTTTTATTTTGTTTGCTAATATGTTTATCGCTATGTGTCCATAAAAACATGAATAATATATAATGCGTATGTCACCAACATTCTCCCATAAGTCCTCTCTCTGTATGTATGTGTGTATGTGTTAGTAGTACCAGGGAATAATATCAACAAGAATTAATTTTCTTTATTGGATTTATCGGAACATTTTAATACACTGTGATCGACAATGTACACTCATTTTTTTAATGTCAAAAATTAAGTCTTAAAAGGAACTATAAATGAAGCAGAAAATAGAAACAACCCCCAAAAAGTAAAGTTGAAAGCAAAACCCAAACCAATTTTATAATATGTAACAATGGTTTTCCAAAACCTTCTTATTTTTCAGTGGCTGTCAACAATACAATTTACAGTCATACACTTTTTTAAATAATGATATGGTGGTTTGTTCTCCCAAACACAGGGATCACTTAGAGGCCATGATTGAATACAATTATGAAGATGAGGTTAGCTGTTTTGGCATTGTTATTCGAAGATGTGACGAATTCATGTTGTCCTAGATCTAGGGTATGTATGACTCTGTTTAAAGCTTTAATAGATTTTAGTGATTAATTCTTGATGATTGGAAGTTGTGTTAGGGAAATACTTCTCAACATGGAAAATTAGGCAGCTTCCAGGAAAACACATAAAGTGCAAAAACTCAAATTCGAATAATATTATTGTGAATTCCAGTCGATACATACATTAAAAACATTCAACTAAAATTTTTGCAATAAATCGCTTCCTTTTTAATTTTTAAAGGCCCTATACTTATCACGTAACTAGTTTATATGATTGGATAAGCACACACCTCTTTAGTCAAAACTCTCCATAAAATATCTTCTATAATTCTCAAGTGTATTTTTAAGTGTCTCCATCAGGCATGTCTAACGGAATGGAAGTATCTACAAAAAGAAGCCAAACAAAATCATAATTATTTTATTTAAATGTACCACAATCTGTGTTTCAGGGTCTTATTTATAGACAATACGTGACAAATTAGTTCCCAAAATGCTCAAAAGTGGTGGCCATCCAACATAGATAGGATTGGAGCAGCTATCGTTCATATAATTATATGTATGGAGCACCTTCATTATGATATTGTGGACACATGACTTGCTCCCATGCTCCAGCGCCTTAATCGACCATGCGCGTATCCTTCCCCTCCCCTTAAGGGGTGACTTTTATTAATATGTCTTCTTTCTTTCATTCTATTATATGATGGGATATTGACATTTAGTGAAAATGTTCTTTTGTACCTAAACCTGATCATCGTTTATTAACGGAAGAATAATAAAGTAGGGTTTAAAATATGGACTTTGTATCATTTTGTTTCCGCTTTCATTTTTGGACCAGATTGAGTAGTAACTCTTTTCGCTCTAAAATTTTAAAAATGTACTGAGCACCTACAACTGTATATATAAGGTTTGTCGTTCCCTTTAATTGACAATTGGTATAATGGAAAACAAAATTTACAAGGAAAAGGCACATTAGGCAAACAATCCCGTTATCATCAGCACAATATCCATACCATACATATATGAAACATATTTATATGAAAATTAGAACTTTGGCTATAATTAAATAAGGGACATGCCTTTATGTTTGATAAAGATTGGGTGACGCAATGATACAGTTATCATGGGGCAACCGCTCTGGTAGCATATTGGTTAGAGCATCCGCCTCGTATACGAGAGGTCGTGGGTTCGATCCCCGGTCGAGACACACCAATGACTTACAAAAATGGTACTAACAGCTGCCTCGCTTGACGCTCAGCATTAATAGGTTAGTGTTAGGTCTCCTCGGCCTGGTGTCAGAATAATGTAACTGGGTGGGACATCATGCTGCATGTCTGCGGCATGATGCCCCAGTGATAGACATCACTATAAACTGTCACACTGAAGACATCGTACAGATATTACTGAAAATTTTGAAGTTAGGTTAAAATTCATAATCACATCACATGAATTATCATGGACTAAAGTGACTTGGAAGTATTAAGCCACTTTTGAATGGGTTTTCAGAACATGAGTAGCCATTTCGTACACCAATAACACTTAATTTCACGCTTATATATAATAATGAGCAAAGAAGCCTTGGCTAATCAGCTGTTCAGACGACCCTTCAGACCTTTGCTTAAAAGTTTCGTCCACAAAGCAAATTATATATGTAGAAAGCTCCTGCATATAAGGGATGTTCTAAATCCGATTTTATAATTGCTTTGTAGATGTGAGAAGATCCTGGCGTTGAATCTAGGCAATAAAAGGTGGTGGAACAAAAGTAATTCCCGATGATCTCTTAAGGTATAAAGATGCACATATTGATTGGATACAATTTATTTTGGTCGGTTATCCGGACAATACTGGCCTAATGGTTAAAGTGTCCGCCTCAGAACCTCTGCCCGTTTTTCGTTTCGTTAGTCCACTTTACATCAAACCTGGTACTCTTGTTACTCTCATATTAGGTAAGTATCAGTCAAGGTGCCACTGTGTTATCAGAGTTCGAACTGAACAGGTGCAACATCTGATATCTTAAAACAATTAGTCACGCAATCATTTAACTATATTTCGATTCTTTCATTTTTGTTTATTAGTTGTTTCGTTAGTCTACTATTTTAATCATTTTAATTACCTTTAACAAAGACTAGGTAAGAGTCAAATACGCTTTGGCTATTTATATTTTACTAATGGTTTTCAGTACGTCTCAGTTGTCTTACCCGTGTGTATATATATATATATATATATATATATATATATATATATAACATCAGTGTTCTCATTGGTCGATCTATCATATTGAAATACTCCATTATGAGAAATAAAAAATAAATCAATTAGGATTGATAGAGATATAACAGTTTCTGCAAGATAATGATAGAGTACAAGTATTAATTGAACCATTAAGTTCTGGCTACTTCCTGCGAGGACTAATTTGTTACTACAGGCTGTCAATTTCTAACTGTCTATAACATCTGCTTACTTAATTAACTGTATAATATCTTCCGTTGGATTAAATCCGTAACCAGTCTACAGCAAATAATATGTCACATGCAACGCAGGAAAATGACAAATAATTTATTCGATCAACTTTAAAATTAGTTGTTTGAAACTTCTCCTCCGTAGTTGATTTACTAATGTTGGATTTGTTAGTGCCCTAGGTCTATGTGGTGTGCCTATTTATGTGATATTTATGGAACTTCCCAAATAAAGCTAAAAACAAAGTCATTACTGGCTTTTTAAGCGCCACTAGGTATATGTTCTTGAATTTCCAAACTAAAGCTAAATAGCAAGGCTTTAGATAAATGTTTAGAAAAGTCTATATTTGTTCAAGGTTTGATAAGGTAATGCTCTCCTTTTTATATTCGGATATGAGCAAAATATCTAAAAAAGTAAAATATAGTACTACTTTCTAACGGTTGTTATTGCAGATATAATATCTATTTTTCGTTATTGTGTTCTCTTTTCAAATCAAGGATGACCGATTCCAATTGTCTAATATGAAATATCCAATCCAAACAACCCTTTACAAATTAATATGTTGGGCACATTGTATAAGACAAACGTATTGCAATCATTTGAACATTTAGCGGAATAAATAAAATGTAATTAAAGAATGAAATAGAATTTCGAAGGTATTTTAGATTCATTCCCAAGAACAAGTGAAAGTCATTTGAATTATCAATTGATAATAGCGACATTGTTTTTGTTTTCAAAGGCATTTTCATTTCGCAAATTATATTTGGTATTAGTTCTTATTCATATGCATTAAATTATCATACACATTTAATCTTTGCAATAGAATAATACAAACTTTAGGCACCACAAATGTTTTTAGACATTACTCCTTGTTTTATCATTTATGAGTCCTATTATTATAGAAATGTACAGTTTTCCCAAATTGCATAACAATGTTTCTGTATAGATCAAAATAAAACGAATGAAGCAGAATACGTAGATTTACATTACGTGGACGTTATGCCTAACAATATCGTCGATAACATATAGTCAAAAATACGCATTGACAACCCATATAAATCAACGTTATATGAAAATTCAGAATACACATCTGCATCTGAAATGGGGCACACAAAATCCATCTGTATGCAGTTGCGCAGCACGTTATTCTGCGACTCCCCATTTCCGCGCAAAACTTAATTATGGTTACCCCTCCAAATAAAAAAAATTGTTTTGGACCTATCTGGGCCTTGCCATCCCGCACAGTTATCGTGTATACTTGAGTGGTTGCAACGCCACTGGGGCTTTAATTTACTTATTATGTTTCGTCACTATTCGTTTTTGTGTTTCAGACCACATGACCTATTTGTCCACACTGTTACTATCCTATGTAATAAGGTCATGCGGTCTTAATCGCGTTGAGTCTGAAAGAGGTCACTTGTATAACCGAACACTCAAGTCACCAGACCCATCTTTTAATCTTTTAATATAGAGAAGAAAAAAGTCATCTGACAGCACACAATTCAGTATAACATACACTTAATGAAATGTGATTGGTAGCCAACTCTGATATATTGATCTGAAAACCAGTCAAATACATCTATCAAACATATTTCCTTTTTGGCCCATCCTGATATATCGATTTACACCGTATACTGAATTGACATATCTTATTACCGTATGGACAAATCATACACTGGAAGTGACAAATTTTATATTAAATTGACAAATTTTATAATAAATTAACCAAATTTATACTTAGTTGATAAAGTGACAAATTTTATATTAATTTGACAAATTTTATAATAAATTAACCAAATGGATACTTAATTTATAAAGCTTATGCTTAAATAACAAGGCTTATGTTGAACTGACAAAGTTTATACTTAACTGACAATTTATAGACAGTGAAAAATTCTGAAACTTTCAATATCTTCCTTTAATTCGATGACTATGAGCATTATTTACTACTAATTGTCAAATTTATACGCGTTGTTGACATAAAGAATAAGTTGGTCTTAGAATAAGATGAAAGTAAATCAGTTATCGGAGGAAAAGAATGAAAGTCAGACATTATCTAGTCGGCCAGGTTTTGTCGCATCCATTTTAAAAAAAATATATATATATACTGTTTTGATAGAAAATGATTTAAGCGTTTATGAATCGTAATCATTGAATCTCTCATGTAGTCAACTTAGATCATTTCCTATCCTTGATGGCTGGTTTTAAATACTTTCGTGTTAGAAATCTTGCAAGCTGTCAACGTTCGCTGATAATATGATATTACTTTTTAACACCTTTTCCTTATGCAGGCCTCTATGTGAAAACTTATGGTTGATATTTATTTTCGTATAAAAATGTCCTAACATGAGTTATAATACAGTAACCGTATCCATAAAACTGTATGTAAAATAGTCCCTCTAAGATTTTGACATCTCGTACTGTTTAATGTCATCTCATTACGTTCAAGACTCAACCTTTTGATAAGTGGTAAAATATGGGAGTATACGTGTCCTAAAGATAAAAGTGACGCTTTCATGAACGTTGTTCCGATCAAATCAATCAATAATGAAATGATGATTCTCATCATTTGATGTTCTTATTGTAAATATTATGAAACAATAACAAAATACTTGGAAGGTGGCTAACAATATGGTTCAGTGGTGCTTCTGTGCATACTAATTGAAAGGCTTGAACACCATTACAATACTATTTAAAATGCAGTAATCTTATATTGCATGAAATCTTATTTATTTTATCGACATATATTATCCTTTCTAGAACTATGTAAAAAATAAAATAGAAGTGGCGTTTCAATAAAGCAAAATAATTAAGAAAGTGATTGTCATTACTGTTGCTATAGGTGAAATTTTGCATGTGTTGATACGGGTCCTTATTCCAAGAAAGTTAATATGGCAGTGTAAGTGGGCAGCTGGACTTCATTAAATTGCGAGTTGTAATCTATATAGCTATTACCTAAATGAAAGTGTCAATGAACAGTGTTTTACACAAAGGCTAACAGCTAGAATGTATACAAAGATTTAGTTTCAAGTATTATAAAGGGAATACTCTAGAAAGGAATATAATACCAAGGGTAAACTCGGTGAATTATTTCCTTCAGTAATGATTTTCTCTGACAAAATTGTGATTATTTGGTAGATTTCCGCAATAAGGAGCTGTCAGTTAATTTTATTGAATAGACAAAAATACTTATACCTAGAAAATTTTCCAAACCTTCATAAATTTAAATTTTCATGTGTCACATTGCGCATTTCAGCCAAAAGTCATTCGAATTCTTCGTTACTTCATATATTGGTTATTAATAGGAATATAGACATTTAGTAAAATTAGAATATACCGGTTGATATAATGTCTTACAACAGATTGGCTTTTTTAAATCTTTTTTTTCCAATTTTGTTCACTTGAACTAAAACCCTTTAGGATGATTTTCATTCTGGGTCTTTTATTATTAGACGTCTACGAAAGCGAGATCCATCTTGTACAAACTTTTATGAGCATCAAATAATTTTGCAGTATATTAAGCTTTTCGGAAGAATTAATGTCTATAATTATAGAAATAACTTACTCTGTGTATCGAACATCTACATAGTTGCCCCCTTCACTGCAACCAATTCCAGCTCACTAACTGCAAATAACTATCTCCTCGAATGTGGATCAGTTTTCATATATTCATTGACCACCTCTAAAACAATGGAACCAACTTATATGGTATAATATTATATCGAATTACGTCACAAATTTGACACGAGT